ACTGATCAATGATTCTCTCTATTCATTGATGTTTCTGTCTCTCTCTTCCTCTCTCTTCCTCTCTGAAATCAATAAAAATATATTTTTTAAAAAGAGATTGTTTGATTCCTTTTATGTGGCCTTCACAGTAGACCATCTTCCTTTGCGCTTTTACCATCACTCACTTCACATACCTTCTTTTTTTTGATCCTCACCCAAGGATATATTTTTATTGATTAGAGAGAGAGAGGGAGAGAGAGAGAGAAACATCAATGATGAGAGAGTATCACTGATTGGCTGCCTCCTGCACGCCCCCTACTGGGGATGGAGTCTGTAACCCGGGCATGTGCCTTGACTAGGAATCGAACCGTGACCTCCTGGGTCATAGGTCGATGCTCAACCACTGAGCCACACCGGCCGGGCTATTTATTCAGATTGTTACCGTGTGCCAAGCATGTGCCAGGCACTGGGAGTTCAAAGGTAATCCTCGCCTTCTGAGGGACAGCTCCCGGTCTGTAATGAAGTGAGCAGGACAACAGAATATGCCCAAGGGAGCACTGAGGAGAGACATACCAAAGGATGTCTGTTTTCCAAGTAGTATAATTCCATTTTCCTGTCACATTCGATGGGAATAATTAGAGGGATGTGCCCCGGAGGGATAATATGAGGGTGAATTAAACACAAAGATGTGGTCTTAAATGAGTCAAAGAAACCCTAGGAAGTGCTCTCAGGAATAACGTATTTCTAACACGCGGGATAATAAGGAAACTGTCTGCTTGTGATTAAAAGAAAGTCATTAAATTAGAGAACAAGTTTTCCCATCTGGGACCAGCTTCCATAGACCGGCTTCAGGACATGCTATGCCCTCGGGCTGCCGCTTGCTCTCCGCCCCCCCTCCCCCAGTAGCTAGATTCTGATTTCTTCCTTGCTGTTTCATGAATTGCCACACTCTTACTATAAAATTTGGAAATGTAGATACAGTACAATTCTTATTTAAGTATATTGTTTATCCAATTCTAGTTCATTTGACAGGACATTAAAACTACAAAAATCCCTTTTAGTAAAAAGTTCTTACAGATATTTTTCAAATGATATAATATTGCACTCATAATTTTAGAGTGAATGACATGCCCTTATTTTCAAATTTTCCTCTTGAGAAATTTCCGTGTTAGCGTTTTTAAGTCGTTTGGTTATTTGCCTCTTTATAGTTAAAGGGTGTTTTGTTTATTTGTTTTAAAATTAAGTTCCTTTTTATTTTGTTTCTTATTCGTTGCAAAAGTGAGAACATACAGATATATAGACCAAATAAAAAAATGGCCACCTATGATTCCGGCCACCCAGACAACCTGGGTTGATACTTATCGCCTTTTAGAGTTCTGAAAGGTTTCCATGGTGATTGCATTCGCAACAGTGAATTAGCAGTGGCAGGAAGCAGGCCTCTGAGAAGCTGTGCATGGGCTATCGTCCACTTGTAAACGGCAACCAAGGGGTGCAGCTGGGAGCTGCAAGTGTAACAGGGAAAGGCGAGCGTAGAGTCTGCAGTCCTGCAGTTCAGGAGCTCAGAATCCGATAAGGTGGCTAATTTGTGATGTTATAGCCAGCTCGGCCCGTTCCTGGGACCGACCGGAGAATGGTCAGCTAACCAAGGGGTCCGGGCTGCCTGTCACTACTTGAACCAGTTCAGCAGAGACGGGGTTGAATCGTATATGAGCATTTATTCCAATAACACCACCGGCATGGGAGAGCAGCAGCTTGTCCACAGAAATCTGCTCTGCACCCCCCATAAGCCAGCTGCTTATATGGCAAAAGCACAAAGGAAAAGTAGGCAAAGGGCAGTTTACAGACATGCAAAAGGACTAGGGGTCTTCAACGGGCTGAGTGATAGGCGAGGGTTGGGGTTACAGGGCAGGTAGCCAAAGGGAGTGCCAGGTGGGA